AGCACTCTATTTCCTCTATATAGAGACCAAAAAATCATGGTCATCCATTATCTGTGACTTGTGGTATTTGTAGTATTTTCCAGTTTTATAAGTTTGCAAAAAAAATTTAAACTAAGGAAGGGCTATAAATATGCGTCACTTTCACACTTGATTTTGTGTTTGTATCTTAAGGAGAGCCCACCAAATCTGGGTTTTACTTTCCTCAGGTTTATTTTATTTCTCTTCTAATTTAAAATGATTTTAGGTCACAAAAATCTGGGTCCTTTGTCCCTCTATTATTTTTTAACTTCTACGAGGTAAAATTTAGCTTTCAGTTTTTTTTCTTTGTTTTTTCTTTCTTTTTTTTTTTTGCTTTGCTATTTTAGTAAAGATTTTTGTAAGTATACTTGAATGTTTTCTTCCAACATGTGACTGCCTATTTTGGGCTCGTTGTTATTGTTGTTAAGTACTATCGAGTTGGAACCAACCCAGAGCTGACGCTTCAGAGGGTTTTCAGAGACACAGGAGGAGATTGCTCATCCTTCTCCCACATGCTGGGCTAGACATTCTCCAATTCTTCTCTTTCCATTATTTTCCTGAATTGTTTGATGATCTGAGCTCTCCCAAAACCCTTTTCAGGCCACAATATATTTGCTCTAATATGAACTGGGATTATAAAGTCAAACTGCTCTTGATTCCTGAGCCAATCTATTTCTTCTAGGGTCATATCCATCTTCAGCTATGCCTATACTTTTTTTTTTAATGCCTATACTTTTGTTGAGTTGGCTCCTAGAGTCTTGATGGTGGTTATGTCTTGATGGAAGTCAAATAAGAGAAGTTTTTGGGTCATATTTGATGTGTGTTACCGGTTTCCCCTCCCCCCGCCCCCAAAAGCAGCTGACAATCGAACTTTTGACCAAGAGTGGAAGCTTGCTAAAGGGTATGTCTTTAAAATCCGAAACTGATACAACAATCGTTTGTCTATTTGCTGCATTGAATAACTCGGAGTTGCTGTGATGCTGAACACTGTGCCATAGATGTGTCAAATACCGTAATGGTTGCCCATCATGTACAAGGTTTGGAGGAGTTTTCAGATTGATTCAGGTTGGGAAGCAAGAGTGACATCCACTTCCTAAACTGGATGCCTTTGAAAACGATAAACTCTATAAACGTACAGAAATTATGTTAGTTATAGAACAGAGTTCAGATCTTTTGTGCAAAGGTTGCTAAGAGTCATATTTGATTCAGCAACAATTAACTGCTGCTAGGTGATACTAGTGTTTATATCTGGAGGAACATTTTCCCACTCTTTACATCACTCTTTGTCAATGTGCTGTATGAAGTAATCTAAGTTTGCTGTGATGCTGAACCTTGTGCCATTGGGGTATCAAGTACCATAATGGTTTCCCTACGTGGACAGTGTATGGTGGAGCTCCCAGTTGTAAAACAGGTTTGGAAGCAGGAGTAGCATCCACTTCCTAAACCACATGCCTCTGGAAACTCTATGAACTTGGAGAAATGACGATGGTTATGGAAAGGCACTAGGTCTTTTGTTCATAGACTCAGAGAGTTGCTATGAGTTGAGCTCCACTTGACGACAACCACCAACAATACTTTTGTTATGATATGACTATACTTTTGAAAAAGGCTTTTCTTACCTATCTGCTTGTGTTCTTCCAGATCCTCCTTTGAGTTCATCCACTATCACTTTTTCCTAGTTTATCGGTCACTTCTATTCATCCAACTCTCCCTATTTCTTGTTAGTATTAAATTCAAAGTAGAATCCAGTATTATCAGGATTCTATAGTCTGAGAGTTGAAACTGCTGGCAAGGCCAGCCATGAGCAGATCTGAGGTTCTACTTCAAGCTGAGTAGAAGACTCTCATGTCTGTTAGTCTCCTGAGGAAGGAAGCAGAAGGTTTCCAATTCACCAGCCCCGAGGAGGGGGTGGGTGTTGCATTACCTAGGTCAAGTATGAGGACACTGGCGTCACAGCTGCCCCTTTGCTGGAATCCTGTCTGTTGGAGTCTGCACTCATGACTTTCCAGGCCAGAAAGCAAAAGCTTTGCACTCTGACCACCTTCTTGCTTCTCTCTGCACCCTCCCTTGTCTCTGGCAAAGGGAGAGGGTCCAGGTTCTTCCTCTCATGGCTTCCGCTACGCCTACAAACGTTAGCTGTGGAGGCAATCCCTCTTTTCTTTCCCCCTCTATATGCCTGCTGGGGTGCAGTAGGTCTGGGGGTCCCCGGAGGCCTGGAAGTAGGATCAACAGACAAAAGATAGGATGCTCAAATTAATTAGCTACTTATTTGAAATTAAAATGTAGTTTGGTGTCTTGTAATTTTTTCTCTGGTTACAAAGGACAGAGGACAGCCCTCCCTGGCACCTAGCTATTTAGTGGCTCCTCCCCTGGACCTGTGCTTCCTGCTGTATCCCAGCAGCTCTGGGCCAGGCTTTCCTCTCTGGGACTGGGAAGCTCGTCACCTCCAGTGTTGGGAAGCTTCCAAAACTAAACTTATTTCCAGTCAGAACCAACCCTGAAGGCACGCACACGGGTTGAATCTACCAGCTGCTCCATGGGGGAAAGATGGGCAATCTCCCTCGGTATGATTAAATGCCTCTGAAAATTCGCCTAAGGGTCAGCTATGGTTCAGTTCTGACTCAACTGGTAAACAACAAATCGCACAGGGGGAGATCACCCATCTCTCTATCAAGTAACTGCAAGTGGATTAGAACTGCAAGAGAGGTATAGCTTTTAGTACCATAACTGTATATGGACTAGGCCACCAGAGCTCCCTTTTGGGAATTTTAGAGTAGGGAAGAAGATAGACTGGGTCACATGGCCTGCTTGGTTTCCAGGCTCTTGGTCATTTCTAGCTGTAGTAGGTGTTTCTCCATAGGGTCTTGCCTAGGTAAATAGAGATCTGTGGTGGATATCTTCTGTTTCCCTCCAGACCAAATTTCTATTCTTCTCTGCCCTGCTCAGTGCCTTCGGAGACTGATTTATGTAGCAAGAAGGATGTGAGCTTGAGTTCTTTTCATTTGCTTCTTCTCTTGGCCGGTCACTGTAGGTGGCTGTGCCCCTCCACTCATGGCCACAGCTCCTATTAGATGACTCACACAAGGTACAATGTCTTTTCCTTAGCTCTCCTCAGGCTTAGTGGCCAGAATGGCCCCAGTTATGCCTCTTGTTGGTGCTGTGTTGATATGTCGATTCGGGACCAACTTGGGTTTGTAGAGGCAGTAAATTGCATAAGAGTTGTTAATTCTGCCTTTCTCCTGTGGAGCAGCTGGCAGATTCAAACCACATGTCTTTAGGCTGAAAACACAATTCCTTACCACTAGGATGCCACCACTCCCTCAGCTCTGCCTAGTCAGGGCAATGATTTTAATTCTTGTTGGTTTCCTTAGTCAACACCACAAATTTGTGTAGTCCTTTATTCAGTCTTCTTCACCTGTTTTCTGTCAGGATCCTGTTAGAGGGTCTGTGTGGCTATGAGCTCCGTATCTTAGTGGAAATGTTTACTTTGGTTTCACACATTTCCTTCTTGTCCTGGATGGGTTTGTTTCTCTCATGGCCTTCACATTTTGGAGTTCATTTTGGATTGGCTTCTGCTATTTTTGCCGCTCACTTCCCTGTCTCTTGCCAAGTAATACATTTCATTTCATCTCAGTCCCAATAAACACTCTCAATCTTGCTTCTTTGACAGCTTCCTCCAATATATTTATTTACAAAAGTCGACTCTGGCTGACAGTTGTTAATAATACTCATTCATCACAATTACATCATTTAACTTTTTCATCTAATTTTTTGTTTCTGTTCCAGTATTTTTTGCATGTGTGTCCTGATTTTACTCTTGAAGTTTATGCATTAATTCATTAGGGACCCATCATATGTCTGTTACAGGCACTGCACCATGTTGCATAAAGTGAAGGATTCCTCACTGTTATCCTCCTACAGAGTTTAGAACACAGTAGGGGAGTTGAGACTTAGGCCCCAGGAAATTCAACAATAGCAACACCTTAGTCAAGTCTCATGTGGTCAGAATTAAGAGATTCTAAGAGCAAGTCACTGAGATAGAAAAGATTGGGATGGGGTCTTTTAGAAAACGTCAAAAACAAGTCTATTTGGGGGGATTCCCCGCACCCCATCTGTGAAAGCAAACAGACTCACCTGGGCAGCAAACAGGCTTCACAGATGTCAGAGCAACAGAGAGCTCGATGGCGCTTCAAGGGCTCACCCTCCCTGGCCAGTGCTTTGTCTTGCACTAGAGTAAGGAACTCTGTTTGCCTAGTGGTTAAGAAGCTGCATTGCCATCCCAAAGGCAAGTAGTTTCAAATCCACCAACTGCTCCATGCGAAAAGATGGACAATCTCCTCCCGTGTCATTTACTGCCTCTGAAAACCTGCTGGAAGGTCAGCAATGGGTTGGAGCTGACTCGACCATACAAGTAGCTGCTGGCTTATTATTGATTGTATCTCATCATCTCATTGTCATCAAGTCTGAACGGACTCATAGCTGACTCTCCCATTTCTAAAAAATTCTATTTCTAAAAATAAACAAAAACCAAACCCAAACAAAACAAAAAAACCAACCACAAAACAAACAAACAAAAAAACAACCACAAAACAAAGCAACCAAATAAACCCTTGAGGTTAAACATAATTTAAAAACTTTGGCTGTGGGCATGAGAACATGGGTGAGGCGCTGTAATTTGCTGGGTTGTGTTCTGGGCAAATTCCTCTTCCAAGAAACTGCTTCTCTGCTTGTCCTCGGGGAGAAAATTGATCCTCAGAGAACCCATTTGTTCTCTCAATTTTAGCATGAGTCAGAAACTCAGCTGAGGTGGGGAAACAGGGAGGGAGGGGTGAGACTCTATAAGATTATTTTGAGGAACCCTGTATTACCTGAGCTTATTTTTAACACACAGATGTGTACTCTCTGGCTCTTGCAAACAGCGGTGGGAGTCTGACTAGGCTCACTAGGGAGGAAGCTTGCTCCCATATATCTAAGCGGCCTACCTCAGGAATGGGCTCGCTCACGTACACCCACTCTTCAGATCCAGGCTTGGGCAGCGGCGCGGCTATCGGAGGAGACGTAGATGTGGAGTCGGCAGGCGATTTCTTGACTGATTGCTTCCCTCCTTGTGCTTTTCCTTTAGGAGAACCTTCAACACGAATATGACATCATTTACTATTAAACAGATAAACAAGACCAGACCCTGACGTAAGCATGCATTTACTACGGCTATGGATCCAGGCAATACAGATTAATGCCTTTTCCCAGCTTCTTTGGCAGTCTTATCAAGTCAAAGATCACAATCCCATCCTCTGCTGTCCCTAAATTAACAAATCATATATATCAATTATGTATAGAATTATTATTGTTGTATGCAGGGAGTACCAGAGAATGTCTATCTGTGCTTCATTGATTACACAAAGGTGTTTGACTGTGTGGACCACAACAAACTGTGGCTGACTCTGAGAAGAATGGAAATGCCAGAACACTTGATCATGCTAATGGGAAACTTATAATTGAACCAAGAAGCAGTCGTCAGAACAGAGCAAGGAAACACTGCATGGTTCAAAATTGGGAAGGGCATATGCCAGGGATGTGTCCTGTCTCCAACCTTTTCAACCTGTATACAGAACAGATCATCAGGGAGGCTGGGCTCTATGAGGAGAAATGCAGCATCAGAATTGGTGGAAGATCGATCAACAATCTGCATTATGCAGATGACACAACCCTGCTTGCTGAAACTGAGGAGGACCTGAAGTGCTTGTTGCTGAGGGTCAGGGACCGCAGCCTTCAATATGGATTGAGGCTCAATGTCAAGAAGACAAAGATTCTCACCACTGGACCAACTGGCACCGTCAGGATGGATGGTGAAGAGATTGAGATTGTTCACAACTTTAGTTGGCTTGGCTCCATAATCAACACTCTTGGCACCAGCAGCCAGGAAATTAAAAGATGCATTGCGATGGGAAAGTCTGCTGTTAGGGACCTCTCTAAAGTATTGAAGAGCAACGGTGTGTCTATGGAGACTAAGGTGTGTCTGGTACAGGCCATGGTCTTTGCAATCACTTGTTATGTGTCAGAGAGCTGAGCAATGACCAGGGAGGACAGAAGGAGAATTGATGTTTGTGAGCTTTGGTGTTGGAGAAGAGTGCTGAGGGTACCATGGACTGCTAAGAAAACAAACAGATTCATTCTGGAGAGGATTAAACCGGTTTGCTCCCTGGAGACAAGGATTCTGAGATTTCATCTGACACACTTTGGCCATGTTGTAAGGAGAGACCGGTCATTGGAGAAAGACATCATGCTTGGGAGAGTGAAGGGCAGGCGCAGGAGGGGAAGGCCCTCTGGGAGGTGGATTGATTCAGTGACTGGGGCAATCGGGGTGAGTGTGTCGGAGACAATGAGATTGGCACAGGACACAGCAGAGTTTAGAGCTGTTGTACATAGGGTCGCCATGAGTCACAAGTGACTCGACGGCACATAATAACAACAACAACATACTGTCGAGTCAGAACCGCCCCATACCTGATGCTTCAGTGGGTTTTCAGGGATGGTAAATAGCACGGGAGGAGATTGCTCATCTTTTTTTTCCTGTGGAGTAACTGGTGCATTTGAACCACGTGCCTTTGGGTTAGCAGTTCCTCAGCACTAGGTTACCAGAGCATCTTGTGTATATAATGAGTAGATATGATTTTTAAGCAATTCAATGTCTATTATCCAAGTGAAAACAAAAAGTCACTCAGTATTTTATTTTCACCTCTGACCTTGCTTCCACAATAACTATGAGCAAATTCTGTTCCATTTACTATTGAAATTGTTTTTGTTTAGTTTTTAGATTTGTTTTATATACAGCAAATATGTTTTATTTAGAATGTGTGCTCTGGTGACAGCAGGTTGAGGCTCAATTTTCAGCCTGAAATAAAAGTTTTTAAAGAAGCAAATTTAATACTTTATCCTGTATAAGAAGGAAAGGATACCATGTAGGGTTGGAGCTCATGGTATCTCTTGGGCCAAGGGAAAGAACCAAGCAAAGATGTTTCTGGTTGGTGATGTGTACCCTCACGTGGGAACCGACCCAGAGCTGACTCTCCAGTGGGCTTTCAGAGGCAGTTAATCATACAGGAGGAGACTGCCATCCTTTTCTCATGGGGCAGCTGGGCCTTTGGGATTGCAGTGCAGCTTCTAGTCAGAGCAGATGAAGAATATGGGGCAGGACAAGAATTGGAAAGGTAGTTCCACAACACTTCCATATTCCTTGCATGAGACACAGAGTGTTTGAGGGAGAAAGTGATTCTGGTTATAATTGAGAATGGATGAACGGAAGTCAGTGTTGTGTCATAGAAGCAGGTTGGTAACATTAAGGTATGTTGTTGTTGTTATGTGCCGTCGAGTTGTTTGTGACTCATAGTGACCCTATGTACAACAGCCCTAAACCCTGCTCTATCCTATCCCAGTCGCACTGCCTCTAACACACCCATCCTGATTACCTAAGTCACTGAATCAATCCACCTCATAGAGGGTCTTCCCCTCTTGCGCCGTCCCTCCACCCTCCCAAGCATGATGTCCCTCTCCAAGGACCTGTCCCTCCTTGCAACATGCCCAAAGTATGTCAGACGAAGCCCCAGAATCCTTGCCTCCAAGGAGTTGCTTGGTTTAATCCTCTCCAGGATGAGTCTGTTTGTTTTCTTGGCAGTCCATGGTACATTAAATACTCTTCTCTAGCACCACAGCTCAAAGGCATCAATTCTCCTTCTGTCCTCCCTAGCCATTGTCCAACTCTCTGAGGCATAACAAGTGATTGCAAAGATCATGGCCTGTATCAGGCACACCTTAGTCTCCAGAGAGACACCATTGCTCTTGAGTACTTTAAGGTATAGGGAAGAGAAAAAGATTAAAAGGAAGAGAGATCTACCAGTTTGATTCCAGAAGGCCGTAAGCTTTATCTTCCCTGATAATATCAAGAGAAGAATCAGCACCAATTTTGTAAGTCCTTTATTGTGGTCTCAAAGACCTTGTGTACTGACCAAACTCCGTCACCTCAGAGCATCAACATTTCCTGAGAGGACTGGGGTTACTGTGGTTTAGAAATTTACTCTGTTCCAATTCCACTGACCAATGGAATTCAATGATTTAGATTTTAGGTGCAGTTTACAGATGGCCTGTAAAACTAGGATCACATCTCCACTCCCTCAAATTTATGTCTTAAAAATGTTTATGTACTGGTAATGTTTAGGGAAAGACAATTATCTCCCATGTTTACATTCATTTTAAAAAAAGCAAAACCACATGGATTTTTAAGCCAAAAATCAGTCGACTGTGTCCAGGAGAAGCTTTGTTTATTCCTGTCCCTGTATTTAAAAATAATATCCATTATCTATAGGTCTTAAATGGTATACAAATTTATGAAAATTTAGAAGAGTTCAAGAAAATATTTGCTCATGCAGAAATTGAAAATGTTCATGGTTGACTTGCTTTTCTGTATGATATTTCATCCTTTTATCTGAATCTCTGGTAGGAGTTAACATAATGATACTATGTTGTTAGGTGCCATAAAATACAACTCACAGGACCCTATGAACAAGAGATCTGAACCCTGTCCCATCCTGTGCTAACTTCACAATCTCTGATACATTGAAGCTGTGACTGTGCCCACCCACCTGGTTGAGGATCTTTGCATGATGTCTCCCCTCCAAGGAACACCTCCTAGCCACATGTCTGAAGTATGTGAGAGGAGGCTTCCTCAACTTTGCCTCCAAGAAGCAATCTGGCTGCACTTTCTCCAAGACATAGCCTATAGCCACTTTCATCTGAACATTTCTTTTTTGTTTGTTTTCAATTGAACACTTCTAAGAAAAAGTGAAATTATAAATGGAAAATTGGAATGACTTTCTTTTATCCAATATCATGTACAAATGAGAAACTGGAATGACTTTTTCTTTTCTTGTATAGCATGTATATTTAGGGAGTAGTAAATGAGCTGGGGAGTTATTTTTGGACCTTTATGATTTGATTCCATGAAACTTTTATCTAATTTTAACAATGAAAATACAAAGGGTAGGAGATTGGAATCAATAAAAAGATTTATGAGTTATAGGGAATGATGATTCTTCCATTCCTAATAAGAGATTTGATTTCACTTGTAAAGTTGGATGACTGAGTCTTTAGGTATTTTACAAAACTAAAGAGGAGGAGGGCAATCCAAGTTATAAAGGCTGATGATAGCATTTTCCCCTTCAGTAATAAGAATCTGATGATCTCAACTCAGAAGTCCATGGAGTAAGAGCAGGTGCAAATAAGAGAGAGAAAATTGCAATTTCAAAACACAGAGTTCATCTAAGCTATGTTATTCATCATATAGAGGTCAATGAAAGATGAAGATATGGAAATAGGAATTTGAGCAAAGGAAACAATTATAATATTAAATATAGGGAGCTCTGGTGGCTTCGTGGCAAGAAGCTGCACTGCAATCCTGAAGGCACACAGTTCAAGTCCACCAGCTGCTCTGTGGATGAAAGATGGGCAGTCTCCTCTGAAAACGTGCCAGAAGGTCAGCTATGGGTCAGTTCTGACTCTGTGGTAGACAACACACATAGATACAAAGTTTAAAAGTGTTCTGAGTAAACAGACCTGAACTATGCAGGAGGGGGAGGGAATTTACTCACTCGTTGCTGTCCAGCTGGAACTGACTCATAGCTGAGGCTCCAGGAGGTTTCCCAGGCTATAAATCTCATAGGAGGGAATTTCACGTCTTTCTCCAGTGGAGCTACAGTGGAGCCAGAGGTGCAGCTTTTGGGTTATCAAAGCACCTTCCTCAGGACTACCCCACCAGAGCTCCCCTGAATCCATGGAAAATCTGATGTACTCCTTGTCTTGTTCAAAAAGATGTCTTAGTCATGAACAGATTCAATGATTAGTTCAACTATGTAGAAGCCAGGAGATGGATTAACAGTGATTACTTCCTTCCTGGAAGTAAACTGCCCACCTTCTTTTTTTGGTCAACATCTAGTGCTGCCCAGCTGTCAACAATGGAAACCAAAGTCAAGAGCTAGGGTGTCTTGAAACAAGGTAAAAAGTTTAGCTCAGAAGTGGAACAATTGGAAGCTGCATGACCAGGAAAAAGAAGAAGCCAGTGTGAGGTAGGCATGGAGC